CTCTGTTATCCCCGGGGATATGTAGGATTACATCAATTAAATTGGTCTCTGTAACTGAACACATTAACCATAAATGTGAGACTCTGCCTTCCCCAGCACCCTTTAGGTATTTAATTTGCTTGCCTGTAATAGATTGTCAGAGCAGTAAACGTGAGGCAAGTAATGTAAGTGGTGTAATGATGGTAATTATCTGAATGGATCGATCGTAGTGTTATTGTAACATGATATTGTGGGTAGGAGCGAGATAGAGACACCCTATATAAATTCCCATTTTCAGCTTTATTTCCTTACACGTTTTTTTCCCAAGACGTTTAAAGTGAAAACAACGTAAACTGGCATTGCCAATCTCTCCTTTATCTCTTCCCATTATCCTTTGTGCAGTTGCCTTACTGAAACCGACAGACCCCACACACACTCAATTTCTCCAAAGCCAGCAGCGACGTTATAGAATTGGAATTCCAGCAGTCCCCCCCGTGACTCCCGGTACTCAAATATTTGAACTGGAAGTCACTTTGTAGATTGGCTAGGCTGTTCCCTTCATTTATTACCTAAAGAACTGTAAAGCCAGCAAGGTTAAATGACTCGCTAAAGCTTTCACGGCAGGGTATTGCCAGATAGACTGCCACGGCGGGGCTAGAACCTGGAGCCGGGGTCCCTGAGGTTACACCAGCTGCAGGTATGAATGAAGTCCAGTGGGACAGGCCACGGCAGTCCCCGACAGAAAACAGCAGCAAGCAAAAGGAAACAGCTTTCCGTTGAGTGTTGGGAGGTGGGGGGTAGGAATGAAGAGAAGAAACAGTCCAGGAACAACCAATATTGAATCAGTCTAAGCAGAAAATCGGCAGGAGGATGGAATCACTGGGCTGCGTGGCAGAGGTCTACCCATGACAAGGTTGTAGGAAAGAAGTCAAAGCCAAGTTTTGGTTGCTACCTGAAGAAGAAACAGGGGTTTGAATCCTGGGATCAAATCAGGAATAGGTTGAGGTGATCTAACGGTAGCAAACGCACCTCCAAAAAGGCTTCTCCCAGCAGTTTCCCGCAACATTTGGGCCCCGTTTTCTTTGGATCACTTGACCTGAATTTCGTTGTTGGTTAAAATAACAAGCTGGTCTAAAGCTGGAGCTTTCATATGTCTGTCAAAAAAAAAAAAAAAAAAAACCATCGCCGTCATCAGAGGCACAAAGGAAACCACGTATAACCCATGTTTTCTGAGTTACCAGAATGCAGAACGTTAGAACTTCAAGTCACTGTTAAGTAGAAAGATCAAAATGAAATATTCACAGAATGAAGGCTACAGGCCTGTGTGCCCCAGATGAGGGTGGACGCAGAAGGTGTGGGGAAAACATTCCCCGTACTGACCACGAATGGAGCCCGAAAGTGCCCAGCGCTGGCTGGAGGGCAGGGCTTGACCCTGCAGGGGACCTGAGGTGACTGTGTCAGACAAGTGTTGTTTCCGGGGAGAAGGAAGCAAGGAGCAAGGGAGAGTTTCCATTCGAAGATCTGGTTCTGGTGGGAAAAACGGAAGAGGGAAAATTCTAAGATGCTAAAGAAATAAGGAAGAAATATAAGACCACCTCCTCCAATCGCCATGTGTTAAAGAAGCTAAAACAAGGCTAGGTGCAGGGTGGAAGAACGGGATGTGAACGTGACACGTGCTGATTAAGCAGAAAGAGCGTAACAAGAAAATTGGTAGGAACTGTGGCATATGTAATCGCAGGGACCCAAGGGACATAATGGTTACTCGATAGTAACAATAAAGTAAGACACAGAAGGGAGGAGAGAATACTGTGAATGAAGCTGTAAGAGGTGGAGGGCCGTGGAGGACAAGGGGTGGGAAAGGAAGGGACCCCTTGCTGAGTATGAGTATACCTTTTAGTATATTTTGACTTTGGGAGTCTATTAATGCTTTCTGTATTCAGAAACAGAGGTGAAATGCACAAGAAAAGGAGATATTAAATAGGACTATCATCAGAAACAAATGGACTGAGCTGCAAGAAGGCATGAAGAGCATAACCATAGGAAAGGGAGACAGTTACCAATCTAGTAACTTTTGAACACAGTATTGTTACTACATACATTCATTCTAAAGGGGAAAAAATCAAACTGTGAACTCTTCTTACGACTATTTCTCATATTGTAACAGTTTTCTATGCACAGTAGAGTTGAATAAATGAGTAAATGTAATAATAGTGGATGCCTGTGTTCTCCCTGCAAAAAAGGAAGACACAAATAAGAAAAAGGGGACGGCGATGAAGAATTCTGTAGGGGTTGGAGAGAGAGAGAGAGGAGAGAGAGAGAGTACGCACGCACATACTGTGTGTGTGTGTGTGTGTGTGTGTGTGTGTGTGTGTGTAGGTATAGTGAAGAGAAAAAGAGAGAAACCCTTATACTGAAAGGGACTGGGAGAAATGACCTCTCAGTAGCAATGGGCACACATTAATACTCAGATCATAGTTTCCAAATACCATTCCCCAATGAAAAGCAGACAGGATTCTTTGGAGAAATGGCTGATTACAGGAATGGGGGTAAAGTGGGCTTCAAACATTTTCTTGTGCCTAAAAAGAAAGTCTTTTTCAAAATGATGGAAATATGGGGCCACGTGGATGGCTCAGTTGGTTCAGCATCTGACTTTTGACTTTGGTTCAGGTCATGATCTGACGGTTCGTGGGATTGAGCCCCGTGTGTGGCTCTGTGCTGACACAGCAGAACCTGCTTGAGCGTCTGTCTCCTTCTCTCTGCCCCTCCCCAGCTTGTGCTCTCTCTCTTTCTCTCTCTCAAAATAAATAAATAAACGTAAAAAAATTGCTGGAAACATGTCAAAAGAGCACAGGTTACAGGGGTTTGCTTTTCCAAAGTTGGGATACCTTGACCATCAAAATAAATACAGTAATGACTCAGAACTCTTTCAATAATATGAGTCCATGTATTCATGTGGGTAAATAATAAATATAAAGAGCAGTTTCTTACAATAGAATGCAAACTTATAAGGATAGTTGGAATAATGGACTGAGAAATCACCATGTGCAATTGTCATCATTGATTCAGACAAGATTCAATGGTTGCTAAGATAAGTTGATAAAAGTTTGATGAGAAATAGTATATTTTCATAACATAAAAATGCCTCTGCATGATTTATTTATTAACTACAAAAGGAATGTGACTTTGAAATAGAGATTTGGCAGACCCCACCTTCACCATGTGATCAAAGTTAACATGTCCAATAAGGGATACATGGACATGGCATAATTATGATATGATGCACTGGGAAGGACCCAGCATCTCACACACACACACACACACACACACACACACACACACACACACCATTTTTGTGCTATTCCTGATAAGTATGCTGGAGGAAACATGAAACAAACCCAAATTAAGGGACATTCCACAAAATAATTGACCTTTATTCTTCCAGGAAATAAAAAAGGAAGGGAGGGAGGGAGGGAGGAAGGGAGGGAGGGAGGGAGGAAGGGAGGGAGGGAGGACAGAGAAAAAGGAAAAGAAATTAATAGCATAAAAGACAAAGGATTGTTCAGATTAAAAGATCCTATATGAACGACAAATAGATTCAATGCCTGACCATGGATGGGTTTCAGGACTGGAAAAAAATTGCCGTAATGACATTATTGGAACAATGGATGAACTGGAATTGGTTTCAAAGATCAGATTGTGGTATCATATGAATTAGTATTTCCTGAATTTGACAACTATGCTTTGGTTGTGTACGAAAATGTCTTTGTCATTAGAAAACATACACAAAAGTATTTAGGAAAAAAAGGACATCATATCTGTGGCTTACTCTCAAGTTTCAGGGAAAAACAATGAAAGAAAGAGAGAATGATCAAATGTGGCAAAATATTAATGCCTGGACTCTGAGGAAAGGGAATGCCGGAGTTCTTTTTATTACTCTCAAATTATCTTCAAGTTTGATTTTTTTTTTTCAAATAGAAAGTTTAAAAAGAAACTGTAGGAAGAAACTATAAAGGAAAAAAATGTTAATTCTTTTTTTCTACCACCTAAAAATCACCATCATTGTTTTGAAAAAAAAAACTGATTTAGAGCTCTGTACCCCCACTTCCAAATGTCAAGACCCATTGTGGTGAAGGGGTAAGTAGTGAAAGGGTAGGTAGAGCAGCCGAGTTTGCTTTGGGGAGCAGGGTGCACGGTCCATGTTACAGCCTTGGGAATGTTTAACTTGCACAGTTCAGGATTCAAAATAGAGCCAGTAGTAGCTGAAGGGGACACAGGTCACCAGACGGGGAGTGCAGTGCCCATGTCACCATTTCATGTTCTTTCTAAAACCTAATACGCTTATACCCATCACTTTTTCCCGTTATTATTCAACTCATAACATAGTAACCATATTCCACCTAGTATCCCATAGTAACCTATCTAACAGGCAGACACCCACATGGTTCTGAGGACCAGGAAAGCAGTCATTTTTAAAAGGGAGGGGGAGGGGGGAGAGACTCAAGTGTAGTTCAGTTCTTAAATTTCTCATTATATTCTGATGTCTAGAAGCCATTGCTTTGCGAAGAAAGGCACGTGTTTGGTTTGCATTTGGAATTATGCTTTCATGAATATACCTGAGATTCTTTTCTATGGCCTAAACAAATATTGGGTTGTGAAACTGTGATAGGTCTTAATGAAGTGGATTAAGGCATTCCTTACCTTGACATTTTCATAGAATGAAATAAACACTGTAATCTTTTTACAGAACACTCTCACATCAGGCCATGATTTGATTTGCTACCTGTTCAGAATATCAAGTTTTTGCGTTTCTTGAAATGGGAATGTACTTTTGTGAACAAGCTGATGGGACAGAAGTCATCCCTGAGTTATTTATAATAGTACTTAGAGCAAACTTGTCAAAGAGTCTTCTCAAAGATTGTTTTGGATCCCGAGGAGGTATATTTAGTAACTGTATCGAATAAGCTGTCACCTAACACAACATTTCATTGATTTATTTGTATTATTTTTGTATCTCACTGCAGGCAGAGAATTCAGCATTGGCTTTGGAAAATGAAAATCAAAGGGAACAGTATGAGAGATGTCTTGATGAGGTAAGTGGACTAGAAAGGCTCTTCACAAAAGGCGGAACTATGTAGGATTCCCTTGGTCAGATCTTAATATAGGTCTCTTTAGCCGCCTCCACACGACATTAGCATTTTGATCTCCAAAGGAACGTTGTAAGCATGTATGTAGACATTGAGAAGGAAGGTCAATGTCTCTTCCCCTCCCCCCTTCTGTCCTATTTCACTGTACAAGCATCTGTAAATTCCTTTTGGCTATTATTTCGTATTCTTGGGGCACCATTGGGGTACGCCTCACTGTATGATAAATCTCTTCTGTCCACTAAGTGTGATCCCAGCCTGTGAATGAGAAAAGCTATGTCAAGACACGCTGCACCACCAATTGGATGCCGTGTCTGAAAAAGCAAACCCTCGATGAAGTGGGTGGGGATGATGTTCATAGTTGGGAGCCAGAGGGAAAATATGGGTAGACTGAGAACAAGCTGCAAAGAGAAAGGGAAGTGAGGAAGAAAATTTGAGTAGAATGGAAGAAGACAGAGCCACACGCATGAGTAAACTGGATAAGTATTAGTTGACGATAATGAAGAGATGAAGGCAGAGGCCATGGGCAGCTCAAGAGTTCCTGAGAGGCGAGGGGAAAATTGAAGTGTGTGTGCAAGGCCCTGGTTCTCCTCACAGTCATTCCCCTCATGCTGTTGGGGATCATACCCTCAGCCCCTGCTCTATCACCCAGTCGGGATTGGCCATTCACCTCTCAGACAAGCTCTCATCTAGGATTTTGTTGGTGATTAGGGTTATTACTTTAATGGGATGACTTTGTTAGTCATCTGTTCGAATAAAGATAAAACTTGCACATATGTGTGTATCCATCTTAAGAGTTGTTATGAATTGCTGACATAGGTTTTAAGAAAAACTACATTTAATTGTATTCCATTACCTTACCAGTGGAGACTGGCCTATATATCTTCAGTATTTTCCTCCTCGCTAACAGTTAGGAGAATCTTTTCCAAAAAAAACTCCTCTTGATCTTTTTCCCTTCCCCCACACTGTCCCAGAAGGTGATGGGTCACGCTTAAAGAACACAGTTTCTAATCCCAGTTAGGATATCATCACTGCCACCGTATGCCTCTCTCCCCTCCCTCCAACCCAGATGTGGTCTTTCTCCTCAGAGTTGCAGTTGTGGCTGCTGTTTTCCTCCACCAGGAAGCCTCAAAATGTGACCCCTGAACCCAACAGTCTCAGCCTCACCTGGGAAGTTATTAGAAATGCAGATTCTGAGGCCTCATCCCACACATCCAGACTAAAGGGCTCTGGGAGTGGGCCCGGCAATCTGTGAGTTCACAGGCCCTCTGGGTGACTGATACACACTTACAGTTTGGGACCCACTGTCCTCATTGCAGGGACCAACTTGCCTTATTGTTAACTTCTGTATGGTTGAAAAACCCTCACCATGTTTCCAGAAAGTTGTTTAATTGTTTAATATTTCTAGCCATATGGATTTGTTACTCAAAGAAAATGGCATTTGCAGTCCTCTGCCCTGTCAGGACTTAAAAAGACTCAGTATAATCTTTACAGTGGCCAAAAGTGAATGAATAGCTGAAGTAAGTCGACATAAGAGAGAAACGATGACTCATTCTAATGAAGCCAGTTCAGCACTTCTCAACCCTGCCCCCCACACTCTTGGTCCAATCAAAGTTTAGGGAAATAAAGACCAAATACATCCAAGGCTATTGAAAGGAACAATACTACCCTTGGGTCATAAGTATCCATCAGCCAAGTTTCACTTTAACCTCCTGTACAGAATTTGTAATGAAGCTGAATCTGTATTCAGAAGTCAAATTTATGTGAATCCCATCACAGGAACTTCTTTTAATTTTTTTGCGTGATTTTTTTTGATTTTTTAATGTTTTCTTTATTTCTTTCTGAGGGAGAGAGAGAGAGAGGCAGCATGAACAGGGAAGGGTCAGAGAGAGGGGGAGACATGGAATCAGAAGCAGACTCCAGGCTCCGAGCTAGCTGTCAGCACAGAGCCTGATGCGGGGCTCAAACCCACAAACTGTGAGATCATGACCTGAGCCAAAGTTGGACGCTTAACTGACTGAGCCATCCAGGCACCCCTCACCACAAGAACTTCTTATTCGTCCCAATTCTCCCACCAGTCATTCCTCCCGATTGGTCAAAAAGTTCATGGCATTTCTTTATGGAAACTCATAGTCTCGTTTCCATATGCTCTCTCTGCCTGCATGCTGAAGGCTTCATCGGAATGTGTCAGGGCCAACCATAAGTTTTCATCCACAGAATCACGTCACAGGGAGTTTCTACCGAAGACAGACTTTTTAGAGGGAGAGTCCCTCTGTTCTAGATTGCAAAAATTAACTATTGCCAAAGAGGTGATTTGCAACTCAGAACCACCTCTGAGCAGTACAGATGTTTTGTATTCCTGATACTGGCCCCTGATTACACATGCCAGTTGTTTTGTAACTAATTGTATGAGGTTGGCAATCCATTTCCATGCATTGTAAGAGAATGCTCTCCAAGGGGTAGTTGAGTGTAGTAATAATGCCAACTGGAAATTCTTTTCAAGGCTTTTTAGACTAATTAGTCAAACTAACAAGGTAAGGCCTCATGTAAGTTATTTCCTTGCTAGCGGGTTTCATACAACATACACAAGTGGATATCATCTAAATTTAAAATGTTCTTCAATCCCTTTTGCACTGATTGTTACTTTCTGAGAAAAGAAGAACATGTTGAGAATTTGAGAAAAACTCTTGGGAGTAGCAAACCCCCTCTGTGTGTTATGACAAAAGGGTATGTTTATTCAGAAGGAAATGGAGCCACATCCAAACACACACCTGGGTTGCCGGCACACACGTGCCCACACATGCATGTGCACACACACTCCACCACTTCACATCACCTCTGCTGCTGCCTAGATCCTCATCTCCTTTCCGTGCAATACAAGGACCAGTCTTGATTTCTTGAGCAGGTTGGAGGTTTTCACGTTTGAGTCTAGTTTCTTTATCTAGCTATTTGACATACAGTTTGCTAGCAAACAGTGAATGCTGTTTATTCTCACTCATGCTTTGCCCATAGTTACTTTAGAAAGGACTAATTCCCATGGAGAGAAGTATAATGACATACATAAAAAAAAAGTAAAAGAATATTCCCTCAAACCATCACTCTACATTTAGATGGATTTAGTTGCATCCTCTAAGTATTTGTTGGGCGTCAGTGTCATGCAGACCTGGAAAGTCAAGGTGGTCCCCAGCCTGGCAGAAGTGAGGGGGATAGTTAATCACACAGGAAATTAGGTGAACTGGGGCCTTTGAGGATGTATAACATAGTCACCAAAGAGCCCAAGGGACCGTGGGTGGGTCAGCAACGAAGGGGGGAGAACTGAAAGGGCATCTTTAGCCAAAGGAGCTGGAGCAGGTGAAGGCCAAGCAGTTCTCACCCTTCCCTGCCCATCAGACTTACCTGGGGAGGTTTAAGAACACTGCCACCTGGGCCCCACATCAGAAGTTCTGATCTGATTCTGGCCTAAAGTGGGGCCCGGGTGTTAGAAATTTTAAAGACTCGAGGGAGTTATAATATTCAGCCAAGATTAAGAAGCATTGCACTTAGGCCCTTTGAATGCTATAATTTAGAGAACATTTTCAGAAAATGTCAGTAAGAGGATAGAAACTCCCCCAAACTTGGAGGTGATGACAGAAGAGCAACAGACCCATGTGGAAATTCTGGGCTATTTCCAGTTCCTCAACAGTATCTGAACAAGCAAAAAGTAAATCCTGTCAAAGTGTGTTTCTGGGCCCATTCTGCAGAAAGATGTGCAGCAATTGCTAAACATACAGATATTTGAACCACAAAAGGCCTTGAATAGCCAAAGCAATGTTGAAAAAAGAAAAACAAAGGTGGAGGCATCATAATTATGGACCTCAAGCTATCTTACAAAGGTGTAGTCACCAAGACGGCATGGTGCTGGCACACAAACAGACACTCAGATCAATGGAACAGAAGAGAAAACTCAGAAATGAACCCAAAACTATGTGGTCAACTGATCTTTGACAAAATAGGAATGAATATCCAATGGGAAAAAGGACAGTCTCTTCAACAAATGGTGTTGGGAAAACTGGACAGCAACATGCAGAAGAATGAAACTGGACCACATCTTACACCATACACAAAAATAAATTCAAAACAGATTGAAAGACCTAAATGTGAGACAGGAAATCATCAAAATCCTAGAGTAGAACATAGGCAGCAACCTCTTTGACATCAGCCATAGCAACTTCTCACTAGATACATCTTCTGTGGCAAAGGAAACAGAAACAAAATGAACTAATGGAGCCTCATCAAGATAAAAATCTTCTACACAGCAAAGGAAACAATCCACAAAACTAAAAGGCAACTGACAGAATGAGAGAAGATATTTGCAAATGACATATCTGATAAAGGATTAGTATTCAAAATCTATAAAAACTTACCAAACTCAACATCCCCCCACCACAAGTAATCCAATTAAAAAAGGGGCATAAGACACGAATAGACATTTTTCCAAAAAAGATATCCGGATGGCTAACATACACATGAGAAGATGCTCAACATCACTCATCATTAGAGAAATGCAAATCAAAACTACAATGAGATATCACCTCAGACCTGTCCAAATGGCTAAAATTAACACAGAAAACAACAAGTGTTGGCAAGGATGCGGAGAAAGGGGAACGCTCTTACACTGTTGATGGGAATGAAGACTGGTGCAGACACTCTGGAAACCAGTATGGAGATTCCTCAAAAAGTTAAAAATAGAACTACCCAATGACCCAGCAATTGCACTACTAGGCATTTACCCCAAGGATACAAAAATACTAATTCAAAGGGATACATGCATCTGGATGTATCAGGTGAAATTGCATGGCTGTCCCAGACTCTAGTGAGACTGTGTGTGTGTGCAGGCGTGTCTGTGTGTGTATGCATGTGTGTGTGCGTGTATTGTGTGTGTGCGTGCGTGCATGTGCGTGACTGGTTTA